TAGAACCGCTGGGCCACGAAAAATGAAACTCAAGTGAAAGCATCCTCAGGTAGTGTAAATTCAAGTTTGTTCAAATCATGCCCCCCGGGGCAAGGGTGGGACCAAAATGGCCGACCCAAGTTTTACATAGGAATATATAGGAAAAATCTTTAAAAATCTTCTTCTCCAGAACCGCTGGGCCAGGAAAGATGAAACTCATGTGAAAGCATCCTCAGGTAGTGTAGATTCAAGTTTGTTCAAATCATGCCCCCCGGGGCAAGGGTGGGACCAAAATGGCCGACCCAAGTTTTACATAGGAATATATAGGAAAAATCTTTAAAAATCTTCTTATCCAGAACCACTGGGCCAGGAAAGATGACCCTCATGTGGAATCATCCTCAGGTAGTGTAGATTCAAGTTTGTTCAAATCATGACCCCCGTGGCAAGGATGGGTCATAATGGCCGACCCAAATTTTACATAGGAATATATAGGGAAACCTTTTAAAATCTTCTTTTCAAGTACTTCAAAGCTATGATTAGAGATATTTATATGGAATCATCCTCAGGTAGTGTAGATTCAAGTTTGTTCAAATGATGAACGCCTGGAGGCGTTAATACAAGAAAAAAAATTATCTTGTGAAAACAACATAATTATCTTGTGAAAACGAGATATTATCTTGTGAAAACAAGATAATATCTTGTGAAAACGACATACCGTATATACTCGCCTATAAGTCGTTTTTTTGGGAGTCAAAATCTGGTTCAAAACGATGTGTCCGACTTATAGGCGCGTTATAAAAAGAATGGTTTTATATAAGGTCAGTCCAACTAAAATATAAGCTTATTAACTACAACCGACTTATAGGCGGACCGACTTATAGGCGAGTATATACGGTAATATCTTGTGAAAACGAGATATCATCTTGTGAAAACGAGATAATATCTTGTGAAAACGAGATATCATCTTGTGAAAACGACATAATATCTTGTGAAAACGAGATAATATCGTGTGAAAACGACATAATATCTTGTGAAAACGAGATATTATCCTGTGAAAACGACATAATATCTTGTGAAAACGAGATATTATCTTGTGAAAACGAGATATTATCTTGTGAAAACGTGATATTATATTGTGAAAACGAGATATTATCTTGTAAAAACGACATAATATCTTGTGAAAACGAGATATTATCTTGTGAAAACGACATAATATCTTGTGAAAACGAGATAATATCGTGTGAAAACGACATAATATCTTGTGAAAACGAGATATTATCTTGTGAAAACGACATAATATCTTGTGAAAACGAGATATTATCTTGTGAAAACGTGATATTATCTTGTGAAAACGAGATATTATCTTGTAAAAACGACATAATATCTTGTGAAAACGAGATATTATCTTGTGAAAACGACATAATATCTTGTGAAAACGAGATATTATCTTGTGAAAACGACATAATATCTTGTGAAAACGAGATATTATCTTGTGAAAAAGACATAATATCTTGTGAAAACGAGATAATATCTTGTGAAAACGACATAATATCTTGTAAAAACGTGATATTATCTTGTGAAAACGAGATATTATCTTGTGAAAACGACATAATATCTTGTGAAAACGAGATATTATCTTGTGAAAACGACATAATATCTTGTGAAAGCGAGATATTATCTTGTGAAAACGAGATATTATCTTGTGAAAACGAGAGATTTTATCTTGTGAAAACGACATAAATCTTGTGAAAACGAGATATTATCTTGTGAAAACGAGATAATATCTTGTGAAAACGACATAATATCTTGTGAAAACGAAATAATATCTTGTGAAAACGACATAATATCTTGTGAAAATGAGATATCTTGTGAAAACGAGATATTATCTTGTGAAAACGAGATATTATCTTGTGAAATCGACATAATATCTTGTGAAAACGACATATTATCTTGTGAAAATGAGATATTATCTTGTGAAAAAGACCTCATTCAAGGAGAGATAATTGGGAATTAAGGAAAATTTGGAGGGATGTTTTAAAAATCTTCTTCTTAAGAACCATTCACTGCATGAAAAGTCGGGTTTAATTTTACCTTAAAGTGATTTATATGCTGCGATTATTTAATGTTTAAATGCATATTATAACATATTGTGGGATCGTAAATGTTAGAAAATAATTAGCATTTAATACGAGTTTAATGAAAAATTAAAAGAACAAATTTAATAAAGTTTGGAAAATTGTAAACTTACTAATACGTTCGGATTTTAGCCTGCCGTAAACAATTATTATACCTCTAATATACAAAACGTATAATTATTATTAAACATGGTCATAAAATTAAGTTTTACGGTTACATTAAATTTGTTCGTTTAATAAAATTTAACGTAGATCTTTACCTCATTATTTTTTGTTAAATTCACACTTTACTTTATAATACTTCCAAAAATTAAGTTATATACGGAGAATTGTAAACTTACTAATACGTACAAATTTTATTCTTTCATAAACTAATATTAAATCTCTTGTATATGTGATGAAAATGTATGGATTAAACCTTCCCATATAGTTAAGATTTAAGGTTGTATTTGATGAAATTTAACGTTATTATATTATTGCATAATATTTTTATTTTACATTTATTCCATCAATAATTTGTATGGTTTACAATTGTGGGTTTTTTGGCAAGTATTTTACAATCTTACACAAATCCATTTCTCATTCAATTTTATTAGATGTTATTTCAATAGTGTACAAACAATGAGTTCTAACAAAGTACAAAATATTTCAAATTTAAGCCTAAAAGTCAGAATTAAAAAAATTACAATCATGATTGTAGCTCAATTATAATGGAGTAAATTTCTACATACTAGTAGTAAGTAATATACTGAAGTAATTATAAATAATATAAGAATAGTATTGTATGTAAAATTCAAATCCACAATAAATCAAAACACAACAGGTACAAAATGTAGTCATTCTGGACTCCAAAAGACTGCAAAATCTGACTGAAACTGCCCCTATTTAAACTTCTGCATGGGTTGTAAATGGCTTTTCAATTTTCCACAATAAATTATATCATACTTTGCATAAAAAGAATAAAAGTTGCCAATAAAAGTTGTCCATTCTTTTTACATGTACATTTTAATAAGACACACTAAGCCACTAACAGAGAAGCCTCACTCGCCCACAAGCAACAGCAAAAGGATCGGTCAGAGACACCACCTTTCTCTTGCTTGGGTATCAAGATCTGCAACTTACTGCCAGCAAAGCTCTTTTAGACCACCCTTATATTCTTTCCCAAGTATTTCCACAATAGATGTCCATGCACTAATTATCCAAGTTCAACTTGAAAAATACTTAATGTTGACTGTGAAAAATACAAGACCCCAAAAAACCCTTTATATCATTTGGTTATGTCAATTCAAATTAAGGAAAAAGTATCACAATTACACAAAAAAATAGCAGCTTAAATTTGTTTACAATACATGTAGCTCATTTCTGTTCCAACTGCTATAGCTCATTTCTGTTCCAACTGCTAGGTTTATTGCTTGATGATTGTAATATAACATATCCTCATTAAATCAACGTTACATTGGAATGCAAAACATTTCAATAGTGATATTTTCAACTTTGCTTTAAAATATCAAAAATGAGCTCTGGAACATGCACATATAAAAGTCCTGTATAACATATGTAAAAGTATATTTAAGAATTTTTTAAGCCTTAATTACAATTCCATAACTCATAATTCATAAACTCTCTTACTTCAAATGGAAGGAAACAAATTAATATTTTACTCTTGCAATTCTCATTACTCTTGCAATATCAATTGTAATATTTATTAAAATCACGAATCACCCCTTTTTTACTCAGAAATGTCTCTACCTCATTTGCCTATTCTATTTTTTACATCTATGACTCACTAAGCCACTGACAGAGAAGCCTCACTCGCCCACAAGCAACAGCAAAAGGATCGGTCGAGACGCCACCTTTCTCTTACTTGGGTATCAAGATCTGCAACTTACTGCCAGCAAAGCTCTTTCAGACTACCCTTGATCATGATTGTCTTATTTTTTCCACAATAATGTCCATGCACTTATTATTTAAGTTAGACTTGTACATATATGTGATATATAAATCAAGATTAAAATGTATGTGATTGCAGATTACACAACAAACCAATAAATGTTTAAACAATAAAATACATAACAGTTTTAATCTGTAATCAAGCATAAGAAAAAACTTTCATTGTCAAAAATACAACACTAGGTATATTTTTCTTATCTAACATTGAATTTGTGCAAAACAGTAGCAACTCAGATATTTCATCTCTAATAGCCCATCTCTGTTCAATTAATACATCCATAGGTTTGACTCTTTTAGATTATTTATTTGTCCTAGTTCTTCTTATGCTCTGCCTTTTAGAGTGCTTTGATTTGAGAATGTCACTTTTGGTGTCCTGTTCTTTGAAGACATTCTCACAATCATCAGAACACAACCTCAGCTTTCTAATTTCATAGATAGTATTATCTTTAGAATCATTTTTTGTACTATGAAGACGTAATTAATATTTAAAACTGCTTTTTCTTGCTTCTTCTTCTCTTCATGCCAAGAAGTTTTCAGCTCTGGAGAAGCACACCTAGCTCCTAATTTCTACAATAAACATGAAAATAAATACCCATTTGCCTATATATACATATTATATGTGTGCTTCCGGATTTATGCAATTGCATATATTAAATAGTAAAATCAAAATCTGAGTTGATTTTAAAATTATTATTTGACCTAGAGGAAACACAGCTCAATTTTGCTTAATTAAAAATTTACAGAAGACTACAAAAGATATGCCATTTTTTCAAATCTGGGTAATAAAGACAGATAATTATCTATAATTTCAGGCCAACGAGCTACAGATTTCGAAGCGTGTAAATTTTGGACTAATGATTTTTTTCACCACCTTTTTTTTTTTGGAGCATTTTACCTGCTTGACCTTGAACATGTTGAGGTGCCCTTTTCTCTGCTCACACTAATTCTTTCATTTAGCAGCAAGATACTATGGATATGGTAAAAAGCTGTCATAAACAAAATATGAAAAATTAATAACAGGTGTGGCTCTCCATAGAAAGAATATACAAAAAAGGAGAAAAATATACAAACAGGGTATACTTATGACTAACATGACTACGGCAAGAAGATAACATTTTACACAATGAAAAAAATTCTCTGTGTCATCTAGTTAAGTGAATTGCATAAAAAAAACATATAATTATATGTATAGATCAAATTTATAGACGACAAAATATGATATGAAACATACATAATGGTACCGTAGTCCGAGCACATGGAATTTGAAGATTTACAAAGTTTAGGAAAATGCAAAGAATAGCATTTACAGCATTTATCATATTAAGACACAAATATATATAGTTTCACAGCAGCAAGCTGCAGAATTTGTGGAAGAACATGTAAATTGGGGACTGGTGACTTTTTGCCATCTTTTTTTTTTTTTAGCAATTTACCAATGTATTTACCTGCTTGACCTTGAATATGTTGAGGTGCGCAGCCCTTTTCTTCATGTTCCTCCAGGATATTTTATTTAATGTAGCAGAAAGATACTATGGATAAAAAAAAATATGAAAAATTAAAAGCAGGTATGGCATCTCGTAGAAAAAATATACAAACAGATGTATTTATGATATAGAGCAAGTAGATAACATTCATACAATAATAAAATCCTCAAACTTTGTGATCTAGTACATATTATGATATGTATTATATTAAATTTAGAGACGACAAAACATGATATGAAATGGGTGTACATACTCAGAACACATGGAATTTAAGAGTAAACTTAAATGCAAAGGTTAGCATCTACAGCATTTAACATGCAAGTTATTGGGATAATGAACAAGTGATTTAACATAAAGTAAAATATATTAACAAGTTTTTAAAGTGGACAACAAATGCAAACTTCCAGTAAATGGTGGCAATCTCATACACAATAAGTTGTGCGACAAATGATTAGTTTGTACCTCATACTGGGTAGCCAAATATCTGGTCAAGTCACTTTCAGGAAGAGAGCCTCAGCAAGTTCAATGTTGATCATTCCCATAGCTACTTCAAACTTTTCTGGCACAATTTCTGAAAGAAAAGATGTATCTTGCAGGGATTTTTATTCAAACTAGGAATAATTCTCATGAATGTAAAAATTTGAAAAGTTTAAAGATGACCGACGAATACCAGACACAGAACAGAAAACTCGCTCGGGTCTTAAAATGGCTCAGGTGAGCTAAAATAAATCAATTCATGTGATTTTATTGATCTTATCAGGAAATTTAAGAAATCTTACCGTTGTGTTAATCTTCAAACTGCTTTTGTCATTTCTTGTGAGCATTTGGATTCCTGTAAATAATGCATGCATAATTGTGCATCATAGAACGTGATAGCTATTTTTAATAATTCATGCTTACGTATTTAACGTAACAAAATTATGCATAGCTCAGAATCCATTGCTATTGTATTTTTAGGTTAAGGAAAATAAGAATATAAACCTCGTATTGTCTACTTGGTATATATAGCATTTCAAGTTGTTGCAGTATTTTTTATACTCTAATGCTAAAAGGTACAAGTTAATAGAAACATTGTTTGTTTATTTGTGATAATAGAAAATTTGAGCGGTATGGTTCTCACCATTTTCACAAGCTGTCTACATAGCCGGCGTTATGGGGAATCGTCTCAGGCACAGTCCACACTGCAACTATTTAAATAATCAAAATAAGTGCTCATTATATTCTTGAGTAGGCATTAAGAAATAAATAAATAATTTATTACATTGTACAACACTCTCTGTAAATGCTGAACAGAGGAACACTAAAGTGACAAAAATTCTGAAACCAATCCCAAACGAGAAAATTCTGGTTAAAATCCATCTTTAAGTTAGATGGTTAAAAGTGTTAAATAATTACTACAAAATGTAAATAGCGCTTGCCCAAACGTTTTTACTGCCAGGCATTTTATGTGTACAGCCCAGACTAAGGAACAGTAACATTATCAGTAGCAGAGGCAATTATTCATTCAAGGACACATGATAAAATTTTGAACATTGTTCCTACCGCTAAACAGGGTCGTAAATGTCTTCATCTTCTGTTAAAACATAAATTCCATCCAAAGTTTATCATGCTTTTCCTTTTCGAGTAATTCTCTTTCGCCCCTTCCTCCCGTACAACATCATGATCAAGTTCAACATGGCTGCGTGGAACTCTCCAAAAAATTGAATTTCGGCGCGGTGTGTTGTTTTTAAATAAATTGCTTTTCGAGCCCGACTTCGATCCCGATGTAATTGTACTACAGTGGTAGTCGATAGAGAAAAAAACTAAGTTATATTCCACAGTTTTGAAAAATCTACATAAGGGTAAATAAATAAAAATGAGAAATAAATAAATTAAAATGAATAGGGTGCCTAAATATTTTTTTTTCAAAAATGTTTCAACATAAGTTTACATTAGGTATAAAGAATTATTTATGACATATTCAAAATACCAAAAATGTACTTAAACTTTAAGTATAAGCATATTTACTTTTACATGTCGATATTCTTAAACGGAATGTATAATTATCTCAATTAAACTATATTATTCTCGACGTATTTTGCATTAAATATGATTATACTTATTTGAAAACTGTATTTAATTATATCACAATATATCTCATGTAAAATATACCGTTATACATAAATTAAATTCAATACAAGAAATTTACTGGAGTAAACGAATTTATTAAATTATATTAAACGCGACTTTTCATGCAGTGATTGTGCCAGGAAAGATGAAACTTATGGGAAAACATCCTTAGGTAGTTTATATTCAAGTTTGTTCAAATCATGACCCCCAGAGGTAGGACGGGGCCAAAATGGCCGACCAACGTTTTACATAGAAATATATAGGAAAATTCTTTAAGAATCTTCTTCTCAAGAAAAACAAAGCCATAATTCATCATATTTTAATGGAAGCATTCTCAGGTAGTGTAGATTCCACTTTCTTAAAGTCATGACCCCTGGCGGTAGGGAAGGGTCACAATGGTTGACCAAAGTTTTACAAAGAAATATATAAGAATTTTTTTAAAAAAATCTTCTCAAGAATAGCAAAGCCATAATTGATCATATTCATATGGTAACATCCACAGGTTGTGCAGATTCATGTTTGTTCAAATCATGACCCCCAGGGGCAGGGCGTGGCACAATGGCCAACCAAAGTTTTACATAGAAATTTATAGGAAAATTCTCATCTTCTCAAGAACAGCAAAGCCATGACTGGTCATGGGACTACTTTGAAATTAAAACTTTTCAATAATAAACCAATTTGTATTTTTTCCTAGCCATAGTACTCAGGTAAGCGATGTGGCCCATGGGCCTCTTGTTTAATATTATGGGTTGGTATTTTAAAGACTTGACAAAATTCAGGTCTACATTTCTATGAATAATCTAAAATATGTCATGAATACAATGACATTAGTTTTCAAGACATTGAAGCTATACAGAAATATTTACTCATTGTACTGAGTTTATTTTGACAGGTCTCCCAGGATGTGCTGTTGAAGTATGTAAAGCTTAAGAAGTGGAAGAAGTCACCATTTTGACAGGTTTGACTAATTATGCTTAAATTTTGATTTTTATCTCACCTGAACCAAACGCTCAAGTGAGCTTTTTCTGATCACATTTTGTCCAGCGTCCGTCTGTCTGTGTACTTTTCTCATTTTCAACTTTTTCTCAAGAACTATGGGGCCAATTTCAACCAAACTTGATACAAAGCATCCTTGGATGAAGGGTATTTGTTCAAATTTGTTCAAATGAAAGGCCAAGCCCTCTTCCAAGGGTGATAATTATGAATTGGTGAAAAATTAATGGCATCTTTTAAAAATCTTCTTCTCCAAAACCATTGTGCCAGGAAAGATGAAACTCATTGTGAAACATCCTTATGTAGTGTATACTCAAGTTTGTTCAAATGATGACCCCCGGGGGAAGGGCGGGGCCACAATGGCTGATCAGAGTGATAGCATCCTCAGGTACTGTAGATTCAAGTTTGTTCAAATCATAACCCCCCGGTGTAGGGCGAGGCCACAATTGACGATTAAAGTTTTACATCGGAATGAATACATTGGAAAATCAAAGTTTTGAAAACTATTCTTTTTATGAACTATAAAGCCATGATTGGTCTTAACTTTATGGAAGCATTCTTACGGAAGCATAGTGTTAATTCAAGTTTGTTCAAGTCATGAATGTGAAGTAGGGGGTAGTTAGGGTGGGCCACTCTTGGAAATTTTTTTTTTCCAAGAACAGAAACGCAATGTTTAATCATATGAATATGGAGGCATCCTCAGGTAGTACAAAGTCTTACTGGTTCAAATGAGGGCTACCACGGTTAGGGCTGGGCCACAATGGAAGGGGAAGGGGAGGGGGTCAAATGAATAAATAGGGAAAGAATCATCTCCTCAAAAACAGTAAAGGCATTTGGTGTATGGAAGCATCATTGGGTATTTGGTAGTTTAAAATTTCAGATTCCCCGTCTAAACTACTCAATACCGAAGTGATTTCTTCTTTTATTTCCGCAGGCCCCTTTATTCTCTATATCTGAGGCCGATATTCGGCCCCGTTCCCAATGCAAAAAAGGTACCTTTTTTCCCAAAAGAAAGGTGTAAATTTCCCAATTTCCATAGCAAAATATTTAGTTAAAAAATAAAAGTCCATGAACCTTTATTGAAAAAAACCCTCAACTCAACAAACTTGCAAATGAAAGTGAAACTGTACTACTATTTGAATAGTTTGTGTACTACTATTTTAATAGTTTGCGCTAAATGCATTCTTAAACTGGTTCAGGGAACCAGGTTATTGTTTTTTTACAAAAATAAGTACTAACTATGAAAGCAGAGTATCTTGTCATGTAGTTTCAACAAAAAAAAATCATATTGGTTTCAAAAATAGACATTTCATTTAAACATTAGTAAGCTGCACCTAGAAACATACCCACGCTTTAGCATGTGCAGTCTCGCGCTGTATTGGTAAGCAAAGTTGTCCATGTGATCAAGGAAATTCGGGAGTACTTGACTAGCGACTGTCACTCAGAAAGACCTATAACTGCAATATTATCAACACTCAAAGATAGTAATGACAAAGCTAATGATTGATTGATTATATGTTGTTTAAAGTCCCTCTCGAGAATTTTACACTCATATGGAGACGCCACCACTTGCTGGTGGAGGGCTACAAATTTTGTCCTATGCTCGGCACTCAGGGCCTTTGAGCAGTGAGGGATCTTTTTCATGCCAGCACTTACTGCGACACATGGGCCTCGGTTTAAACGGTCTCATCTGAAGGACCAGTTTCAACGTCACACAGTGGGACTTGAACCCGCGAGGTAAGGATTGACTCCTTACTTTGCAACTCTAGAGCAGACGCTCTAACCACTGTGCCACGCAGGCGACGACAAAGCTAATGTACTTTTATAAATAGCCTACGTACCCATGTTTGTTCTGTTTAACTGTTTATTCAAAAACAGAAAGCAATATTTGAGGATTTTTTCTTAATGAATTTGGTAATCCAACTTTTCCCAAAATGAGGATAATTTTCCCAATTTGAATGGCCCCGGCCCCAGTCCCAAAAAGTGGTGTGAGAGCCCTGTTTCCTAGCCATAGGTCTCAGGTGAGCAATGTGGCCCATGGGCCTCTTGTTTAATATTACGGGTTGGTATTTTAAAGACTTGAGAAAATTCAGGTCTACATTTCCATGAATAATCTAAAATATATCATACAATGACATTAGTTTTCAAGACATTGAGTTTATATTCACAGGTGTCCCAGGATGTGCTGTTTAACTACGTAAAGCTAAAGAAGTGGAAGAAGTCACCATTTTGACAGGTTTAACTAATGCTTAAATTTAGATTTTTTGCTCACCTGAGCTGAACGCTCAAGTGAGCTTTTCTGATCACATTTTTTCGAGCGTCCGTCTGTCTGTAAACTTTTCACATTTTCGACTTCTTGTCAAGAACCACTGGGCCAATTTCAACCAAACTTGGCACCCTGTATCCTTGGATGAAGGGGATTCAAATTTGTTCAAATGAAAGGCCAAGTCCTCTTTCAAGGGAAGATAAATATGAATTAGCGAAAAATTAATTGCATCTTTTAAAAATCTTCTTCTCCAAAACCATTGTGCCAGGAAAGATAAAACTCATGTTGAAACATCCTCATGAAGTGTAAACTCAAGTTTGTTCAAATGATGACCCCCGCGGGTAGGGTGGGGCCACAATGGCTGATCAAAGTGATAGCATCCTCAGGTAGTGTAGATTCAAATTTGTTCAAATCATGACCCCCAGGTGTAGGGCTATGCCACAATTGACGATGGAAGTTTTACATCGGAATGAATTCATTGGAATATCAAATTTTTGAAAATTCTTCTTTTTAAGAACTATAAAGCCATGATAGGTCATATCTTTATGTAAGCATCCTTACGTAGTGTTGATTCAAGTTTGTTCAAGTCATGAATGTGAAGTAGGGCATAGGTAGGGTGGGCCATTATTGGAAATTGTTTTCCCAAGAACAGAAAAGCATTGATTAATCATAGAAATATGGAGGCATCCTGAGGGAGTACAAAGTCATACTGGTTCAAATGAGGGCTACCACGGTTAGGGCTGGGCCACAATGGGAGGGGAGGGGGTCAAATGAATAAATAGGGAAAAATCATCTCCTCAAAAACAGTAAAGGCATTTGTTGTATGGAAGCATCATTGGGTATTTGGTAGTTTAAAATTTCAGATTCCCCGTCTAAACTACTCAATACTGAAGTGATTTCTTCTTTTATTTCCTAGCCATAGGTCTCAGGTGAGCGATGTGGCCCATGGGCCTCTTGTTTAATATTACGGGTTGGTATTTTAAAGACTTGACAAAATTCAGGTCTACATTTCTATGAATAATCTAAAATATGTCATGAATACAATGACATTAGTTTTCAAGACATTGAAGCTATACAGAAATATTTACTCATTGTACTGTGTTGATTTTGACAGGTCTCCTAGGATGTGCTGTTGAAGTATGTAAAGCTAAAGAAGAGGAAGAAGTCACCATTTTGACAGGTTTGACTAATGCCTTAATTTAATTTTTTAGCTCACCTGAGCCGAAGGCTCAAGTGAGCTTTTCTGATCATATTTTTTCGAGCGTCGGTCTGTCTGTAAACTTTTCACATTTTCGACTTCATTTCAAGAACCACTGGGCCAATTTCAACCAAACTTGGCACACTGTATCCTTGGATGAAGGGGATTCAAAATAAAAGGCCAAGTCCTTTTTCAAGGGGAGATAATTAGGAATTAGCGAAAAATTAACTGCATCTTTTAAAAATCTCTTCAAAACCATTGTGCCAGGAAAGATGAAACTCATGTTGAAGCATCCTCATGAAGTGTAAACTCAAGTTTGTTCTAATGATGACCCCCGGGAGTAGGGTGGGGCCACAATGGCTGATCAAAGTGATAGCATCCTCAGGTAGTGTAGATTCAAATTTGTTCAAATCATGACCCCAGGTGTAGGGCTATGCCACAATTGACGATGGAAGTTTTACATCGGAAGGAATTCATTGGAAAATCAAATTTCTAAAAACTCTTCTTTTTAAGAACTATAAAGCCATGATTGCAATTTGGTCATATCTTTATGTAAGCATCCTTACGTAGTGTTGATTCAAGTTTGTTCAAGTCATGAATGTGAAGTAGGGAGTAGGTAGGGTGGGCCACTATTGGAAATCTATGAATATCAAGGATTTTTTTTCCCCAAGAACAGAAAAGCGATGTTTAATCATATATATATATATGGAGGCATCCTCAGGTAGTACAAAGTCATACTGGTTCAAATGAGAGCTACCACGGTTAGGGCTGGGCCAAAATGAGGGGGGGGGGGTCAAATGAATAAATAGGGAAAAATCATATCCTCAAAAACAGTAAAGGCATTTGTTGTATGGAAGCATCAATGGGTATTTGGTAGTATAAATTTTCAGATCCCCCCCCCGTCTAAACTACTCAATACTGAAGTGATTTCTACTTTTATTTCCCAGCCATAGGTCTCAGGTGACAGATGTGGCCCATGGGTCTCTTGTTTAATATTAGGTGTTGGTATTTTAAAGACTTGACATCAATAATCTAAAATATATCATACAATAACATTTGTCTTTTAAGACATTGAAGCTATACAGAAATATTTACTCATTGTACTGTGTTTATTTTGACAGGTCTCCCAGGATGTGCTGTTTAACTATGTAAAGCTAAAGAAGTGGAAGAAGTCACCATTTTGACAGGTTTGACTGATGCCTAAATTTAGTTTTTTAACTCACCTGAGCCAAAGGCTCAAGTAAGCTTTTCTGATCACATTTTGTCCGGCGTCTGTCTGTAAACTTTTCACATTTTCGACTTCTTCTCAAGAACCACTGGGCCAATTTCAACCAAACTTGGCACGCAGTAGTCTTGGATGAAGGGTATTCAAATTTGTTAAAATAAAAAGGCCTAGCCCTCTTCCAAGGGGAGATAATTATGAATTAGCTTTTTTATCTTTTAAAAATCTTCTTCTCCAAAACCATTGGGCCAGGAAAGATGAAACTCATGTTGAAGCATCCTCATGTAGTGTAGATTTAAGTTTGTTCAAATGATGACCCCGGGGGTAGAGCGGGGCCACAATGGCTGTGAGATCAAAGTTTTACATAGGAATATATAGGAAAAATCTTTGAAAATCTTCCTCTCCAGTACTACTGGGCCAGGAAAGATGAAACTCAAGTGGAAGCATCCTCAGGTAGTGTAGATTCAAGTTTGTTCAAATCATGACCCCAAGGGGTAGGGCGAGGCCACAATTGACAATTAAAGTTGTATAGGAATGAATACATTGGAAAATCAAAGTTTTTTTTTAACTCTTCTTTTTAAAAACTATAAAGCCATGATTGGTCATATCTTTATGTAAGCATCCTTACGTAGTGTTGATTCAAGTTTGTTCAAGTCATGAATGTGAAGTAGGGGGTAGGTAGGGTGGGCCATTATTGGAAATCTATAAGTATCAAGGAATTTTTTTCCAAAGAACAGAAAAGTAATGTTTAATTATATATATATGGAGGCAACCTCAGGTAGTACAAAGTCATACTGGTTCAAATGAGGGCTACCACGGTTAGGGCTGGGCCACAATGGGAGGAGGGGTCAAATGAATAAATAGGTAAAAATCATTTGCTCAAAAACAGTAAAGGCATTTGTTGTATGGAAGCATCATTGGGTATTTGGTAGTTTAAAATTTCAGAACACCCCCTTCCCCCCCCCCATCTAAACTACTCAATACTGAAGTGATTTCTTCTTTTATTTCTTAGCCAGTGTGCACAGGTGAGCAATGTGGCCCATGGGTCTCTTGTTATAACTGTGTAAAAATATACAGCAATGATAACTATCTATAGAGTCTCATAGTTCCCGTAGAACTTTCCTATCTAACACTTTGTTGCAATAACTATGAATTAGTAATGGTAGGAATGCAGATTTTATCATGATTTTTCTTCTGTAAAGACTGAATATTGTAAATACAATATCATAGCATGTCAGGTTTTAAAAGATTTCATGTTAACATCTATAAGAATCTGAACAATGTCACAATTTATATGTGTTTTAATTATAACTATTGCTTTGTTAGACAGGTTTAATTGAGAACACTTGGAGGCTGTAATTTACAGAGAGATCTCACTGACTGAAATCCACACAGGATTATAAAGTCACAGGAAAAAGAAATAGAAGTCTGATGTCAGCCATGTATACAGCAGTATTACACAAATCTGTCAGAGTGTCTGGGGTTAGTGGGTGTCGTCACATTACCCACGTGACATCAGACCGGGTCTGGATCTGTGATGATAAAGGCAATCTCATCTTAACAAACACGAGAGGTGACATTCTAGATAGTGTGACGGATTTACTTAAATATGGTTATGGAGTACATACAGTGACTCGGGATAGTGCTGTGATTTATATAGACAGACACCTTAACATCATAAAACTGTCTACAGATAAAGTAATGATCACAGTGATATCGGACACATCACCATTGAGACCACTGAGTGTCTACAGCTCCCCCTCCACTGGACACCTGCTGTTCGGGATGTGGAATACTGATACAGGGACAGGCCAGGTACACCGTTGCACTAACACAGGTAAACACATACAGAACATACAGTACGACAACACAGGTCAGGGACTGTATATGAGACCTAGATACATCACAGAGAACCACAATGGAGATGTTATTGTGTCTGACTGGCGCCATGTAGTGGTGACAGACAGGAGAGGCAGACATCGCTTCTCCTACAGAGGTCGTACATCAGGATCACGACTATGGCCATATGGAATCTGTACTGACGCGCTGTCACACATCCTGCTGTGTGATCCTAACACCGACACGGTACATATCATTGATAAAGACGGTCAGTACCTGGCACAGTTAGATACAGTACAACACGGGATAGACAGACCACACAGCCTGAGTTATGATGACAACACCCGCTCTGTCTGGGTAGGATCAAACCACAACAACACAGTGAACATCTACAGACTTATCTATGGAGGGGATAATCTGACTGGTAAGTTATACTGAAATATTATTATATGTTTGTTTACAATGTTTAGTGTGTACAATATATTATAGTCATTGTTTTGTATTTAATTATAAGACATTAAGGTTTAATCATACTGATTGTTTTAAGTGTAAATACATTACATGGTAAATTGAATTCTAACTTGTGTTATGTAACAAGAAATGTTTTAAAAAAAGGATATTAATTGATAAGTTGTCAAATTAATAATGATTTGATTTTCATATTAGATTTAATTAGACATGTTAGAGTTATTTGAATGTGTACTTAGTTGTTAACTTTGTTGTCTTTGACAAACTACACCTGAATTTGTACAGTTTGTCTAATGATTTGTAAACACGGTTAAATAACTCTCATTGATTCTGTCTTCTATTTGGGTTAACATTATATTTTATATTCCTCTGCTAGATGGTTTGTAGGTTAAATTCATAGATCACTACAAATGTCAGGAAATGGAAAAATAATTGTACAATTGGGGTTCATGAGTGTTGGAGGGGGGGGGGTAATGTCATAGACCTTATCATTAGATAATATATACTTTGAATACGTCATTCAATGTGTTAAAACAAAGTTCAATCACATTGACTACAAACATTTTGTACAGTATTGACAGTGAGATATAGACACCATTGATCATGTTGATATTAACACAGCTCTGTCTAGGAATGTAGTGTATTTCTGTAGCAGGTGTTCAGTAAATCTACACTGTGTACTGGGGTGACATTTTACATGTATGTTACATGGAGATTTTATGGTTACAATGAAACCAGATGCCAGAATTGTAGAGTTATATCAGTGTAACCCCTACCCCCCCCCACCCCCACCCCCCACTTCTCCACACACACACACACACACACACTCCCTCACCCTCTCCCTCCCTCCCTGACACACACACACACACACACAATTTTTCGGGGGTAGGTTTGGGTGGGAAGGAGGTGTCACACGGTGTCTCACTTTATCATGCTATTTAATCTATTTCTTTTAAGTACTGTTTTAGTGAAAAAACCCTTTTTGTACTGTATTTACACAATGTATTATGTTAAAGCCGCTTCATCCTAAACAGGCACATATTATCTTAAACAATTAAAGTTTGTCATTGCATACATTATATATAAAAAATAATTATAAGATTGATTTAATAGTTTATTACAACATGGAAAACATAGTCCAAAAACCTTGTTGACAAACAGCAGTTCCTGACGGGAAGTTAAGATCTGTATTGAAGTCACATTTGAAAGAATACTTTTATCGGTTATATCTAATTATGAAGAGAATTCAAACCCGAGTAATTTTTTTTTCCATTAGTAGAATCCTAAGTCATGATATATCTTTTAAAAATTAAGAAATAAACTGAATATAATCAATAGTGATTTTTAGATTAATATCATGCATATTTACAGAATAAAGGAAAATCAGATATTTTTAAAGATTTTTTAAAAAGTGTGTTTAGTAACGAGGGCTACGTGTTCACTTTGTTGTGGAAAAAATGCTCTGGTTTGTTCTTCATGAGTTATACATGTAAGCGATAAATTTAATTTTACGAAGGTGATTTCACGCAATGTAAACAAAGGATTATTTTTTGTGTGACCTAACAAAAATTATTTTTTTAACTTTTGAATTTTGATATCTTTAAAAAGAAAAAGACTTTGGGGGTGTAATTTGACAAAAGTTGAAATAATTTATGGACGCAGCACAGTTAAGGTTACAAATGGAAATATCGGCGATTTTTAAAGATAAAAAATACATACTTTATTAGGATAGGCGATTCTTTTTAGGAAGTCACTAATATCTAAAAAATGTATTGTGGTTTAAATCTACATGTTCGGGACATTAAGATTTTTTATTTAGACTTGTTGTGTGATGTCGACGTCACATGACTTTCGCAATTATACTTGCAGTTTAGAGGTCATCTATAAATTTCAATATTGCAAGGGCATAACTAAGTTAAAAATCTTAGTTTATTTTGTAATCCTTTTCAACATTATATGTAGTTTGTGAAAAGTGCTGCGAACCTATATAGATTCCCTTTTTTAATTGGTAAAATTTATTTTGTTGGACGGCAGGTTGAATATTTTGCTGGTCAGCTACATTTAGTATAGCTATGATTAATTTATTTGCCAGATTTCAAGAGGTTCGCAGCACTTTTCAAATATCTTAATGCTTCTTGAGTTTATGTGTAAAAATTTGACAAGATACATTGAGGGTATGCCCTTGCAATAAATCGATTTATTAGGGTCCTTATGTTACTTTTTCAATGAATCTGCTTACAAACACACGATAGTATCGCTTGTCTGGAGAATGCACGTACAGTTTATAAATAAAATACTAAAATAGACATCGCATCCAAGTAAACGGCTTTTTATTTTATTGCAAATAATATTTTATTAGAGAACAAAAGACATTTTTCATTGTACAAAATACGACTTGATCAGCCTCTCACTGTGTACAAACTGCGTCATTTTTGCGTGATGACGTCACATTGACAAGTGCATTGCGATCGATGCATCGTTTATATACTGTTGTATGGGATTTAACAAACGACAAAACTACATGTAATAGTAAGTTTGTATGTCGTATACAACTATCCAGCTGTTTGAAATAGCAGATAATTTCATTTTCTGGTATTTTGGAGACCTTATATTATGTGTGACGTCATAGTAAACATTTCCCGTACAAATTAGGCCCCGCCTCCTTACTGTAACCTTAACTGTGCTGCGGACAATTATTAAGCAAGAAGAAAAACTAATATACTTTTTTATCGATTAGAATCAGACCAAGCGGCTTTAAAAAGTGAATGATTCTCAGGAAGAAAAATGAAAGAAAACAAGCAAATGTGATGTGATGTGGCCCCTGGGCCTCTTGTTAAAACTTCTTAAGGTTGATAAGATGACGCAGTTAGTTTTTAGCTCTACTGGTCAGAGACCAGAAGAGCTTATGCGATAGTAATGCGTCCAGCGTCCGTCCGTCTGTCTGTCTGTCTGTAAACAATTTTTCAAAATGCTACTCCTCCTACAGTTTTGGTCTGATTTCAATATAACTTGGCACACAAGTAGACTACACAAAGATACATAATTCTACGCATCAGTTTTTGATTTCAGTGAACATTGTTGCCATGGTTACTAAAAATAATAATTTCTGTAAAATTGTTTCAAAATGCTACTCCTAAAGTTTTGGTCTGATTTCAATATAACTTGGCACACAAGTAGACTGCACTAAGATAAATAATTATATACATAGGGTTTGATTTCAATAAAGGATGTTGCCATGGTTACTAATATAGAAATTTCTGTGAATTTGTTTCAAAATGCTACTCCTCGTACAGTTTTAGTCTGATTTCAATATAACTTGGCACACAAGTAGATCACACTAAGATACATAATTCTGTATATCTGTTTTTAATTTCAATGAACGGTGTGTCCGTGGTTACTAAAAATAGAAATTTCTGTAAAATTGTTTCAAAATGCTACTCCTCCTACAGTTTTGGTCTGATTTCAATATAACTTGGCACACAAGTAGACTGCATTAAGATCCATAATTCTATTTATCTGTTTTTGATATCGATGAATGGTGTTGCCGTGGTTACTAAAAATAGAAATGTCTTTAAAATTGTTTCAAAATGCTCTTCCTCCTACAGTTTTAGTCTGATTTCGATATAACTTGGCACACAAGTAGACTACACTAAGAAGTAAGAACATAAAGAGATTTTATCAAGGATCATTATTCTATTTATTGCTGTTGTTAAGTTTCAATTTCCAACTGCTTAAGTACTTTTCTCTTCCTTGCTATAAGTACAAACCAGTAGAGCTTCAGTCTTGACAGAGACTTCTGCTTTATTAGCAGAATAGCTCACCTGAGCCGAAGTGAGCTTTTCTGATCACATTATGTCCGGCGTCCATCTCTCTAGCTGTCCGTCCGACTGTAAACTTTCCAAATTTTCAACTTTTTCTCAAGAACCACTGGGTCAATATTAACAAAGCTTGATACAAAGCATCCCTGAGTGATGGGGAATTCAAATTGTCAAAATGAAGGGCCAAGTCCCCTTACAATGGGAGATAATCAAGAAAAGATGAAAATAGGGTGGG